AAAAGCTATAGTTATAATATACTTTATATATAGCTTTTTATAAAGTTTATTTCTCTATTAAAGCTATTTAGAACTTATAGATTACTATATCTAATACTATTCTATTCTTACTACTTTTTTATAATAGTTTCTATAACTATATCTTTAATATATACTTTTTTATAGTAATATTTCTATAACTATAGCTTTACTTATTATACTTCTAGAGTACTATTCTATTTATATTATAATTTTAAGAAGCTTTTAGAGCTTATATACTATATAATAATATATTTATAACTATTCTAAATATTTAAATACTAAAGTATAACTATATATTACTTTATAGTTTTAATAAGCTATTAGACTATATATATATATTACTACTAAATTATTATACTAAGTATCTTTCTTAATCTTTTTAAAATATAAACTTATAAGCTTTTAAGTTTTATATTAGTTACTATTTATAAAAAAAAGTTATACTTAATATATTATAGTTAGATTAGATATTCTTAACTTTTATATACTATATAGTTTTAATAAGCTATTAAGCACTAGCTTTATATAATATATAATAAGTATAATTTACTCTACTATAGTATAAGTAAAGTAAGTAAAGAAAGAAAAAATTAAAGTAGTAAAGTATAAAAAATAGAAGTAAAAAGTATTATAAATAAAGTTACTAATTTTTTATATAATAGAAATAAAAAGTAGTTATAATAAATAGATTACTATTATAGTATAGCTTACTTAATTTTTTTAGCTAAAATACTAGTATATTATACTTAGATAAAAGATTTTATAGTATTTATACTTAGAAAATTATATAACTATAAGCTTTATAACTATATAATAATAGTTCTAGAAAAAAAAAAAAAACTATTATAATAGACTATATCTAGAAAAGTTCTTTTAGTTATAAATTTTAAAAATTTAGTTTAGTTTTAGCTAAGCTTAGAAAGCTCTTCTAAAGTATATAGCTATCTAGAAAGTTTTTCTTTCTAAGGCTATTAAATTTATCTAATATTTTCTAGTATCTACTCTTAGAGTTAGTTTCTTATAACTATAAGTAAATAAAGCTATAGCTCTAAAGACTATAATAGAGTAAAGATAAAGTAGTTTAGTATAATACGTAACGTTCTATTATATATTATAAAATTAAGTCTAATAGTAGATTTATCTAGAGTAGAATATAGATTTGTAGTACGCGTAAGGTTGTAATTAACAAAGATTTGCATTTACAACTCTCTGCTAAGTTCTTCTCTACAAACACTACATACATCTACAGCGAAATCCTCTCGATATCGTTCTTCGCAGCATGGCTCGTAGCCACGTACGGCAACTGCTCCTGCAGCGCCTTAAAGTTCTTCTCCGCCTCCCAATTCCAGATGCTGTCGGACGCGAAGAGCAGATCGATCTCCTCGAGCGTGCGCTGGTTTGTCTCGGGGTACAGCGCCCAAACCATGGGGATGGTGATGGCGTTGCATGCGGCGAAGATATACAGCGTCTTCTCGCCGAGTGAGTCAAACATGATGGGGCAGAGGAGCGTGAGCCAGCCGTTGCCGATGGACCAGCCGACGACGCCCCAGGCGTTGCCCTTTGCGCGCACTTCGAGGGGGAAGATCTCGGCGGGGTAGAGCCATGGGACTGTGAGCCAGGTTGCGCCGAAGATGGCCGTGAAGATGAAGACCATGGAGACTGCTGCGTTTCCGTATGAAGACGCTGCGCTCGTGTCGCCGCGCTTTGTCGCTTCTTGTCCGAGGTACGAGAACCCTCCGGCGAGGGCCATCGCGATGCCTTGTCCTGCCGAGCCCCAGTAGCAAGTCCAGCGGCGGCCGATGCGGTCGAGTGTGAAGACGCAGATGAGTGTCGCAAACATGTAGAAGATGTTGTTAAGACCTGAGATCCATTGTCGCTTCGCCGGGCTCATACCCGCGATGCCGAAGATGGTGGGCGCGTAGATTGTGACACCAGCGATGCCAACCTACGTGTTCAAGTTAGCGATCTGAATATGCATAACATGCGTCCGAACTTACCCATTCCTGCATGATCTGCAACCAAATAACGAGCTGGACGCGGCGGCCGGTGTGCAGCTTGCCCGACCCGATACCGAAGAGCATGCGGAAGTAGTCTTGCTTGCGGAAGTTGGAGCGCTCCAACTCGCAAGAGGCGACAATCTCCTGGAACTCGACTTCCGCCCTCTCCTTGTCCTCTCCGGCGTCGCCTCGAAGTCGAGCCAGGACGTAGCGTCCCTCTGCCTCGCGACCCACCTTCACAAGCCAACGCGGGGATTCCGGGAAAAACATGACGGCGGCCATGAGGATCATGAGCATGGGGATCTGGAATGCGATGGGGAAGCGCCAGATGAAGGACGAAGTGCCGTCGCCGTAGAAGGAGCATGCATACTCAAGCCAGTATGCGATGACGACACCGAGGATGTTGAGGGTGAACTCGATCGCGATGAACTGTCCGCGCGAGGTGTGCTCCGCGGTCTCGGTAGCCCAGACGGGAATGATCGAATTGAGGATACCGGTGCCCCAGCCGTTGACGAGACGTGCGCAGATCATCCATTCGTGGTTCATGGCCGAGCATTGCAGGCATGCGCCGACGGTTGCGACAGCTGCTCCGACAAAGATTGTCTTGATGCGCCCGTAGCGATCACCGATTGAGCCACCAACCAAGCATCCCACCAGTGTACCCAGGTAGTATACCGACACGATGCCGCCTTGAAGCAAGGTATCATCCACGACTGGACCGCCATCTGCGCCTTTGTGTCCGAAGCCCATAAGGGTATAGTAGTCGTATGCGGTGTTGACACCTCCCATCATTCCCTGATCGTAACCGAAGAACAGGATCGATAAGCCGGCGATGCAATTGATCCTGGTGGAAGAGTTAGCTACGGCTCATTTGTGTTGTGATGGAAACATACGCGATAAGCAATGCGCGCTTCTCATATCGATGAACGACATTCCACTTGGAGATCTGGTCCATGGTGAGCAATGGCTTCGCGACGTCAGACCCTCGCTTGGGTGTAGTATCGCGAACGTGTGCGGTTCGATGCTTCGCTGAGCGGGAAACCTTGTCGCGAACTTTGAAGCCCGTAGGCGGATCGGGCGCACTTATAGCATGATGCCATGAGCATGGATGGGTTACATCGTGACTTTCGCGCGTGGTCGTCTAACCCTGCGGAGGCCGTTGATTCCCATGGGGCCCCAATTGTCGGCCCCTCTTTTCATGGTTGGGACGCGGAAGCCTCTCCAGTTGCGACCATGGATGTGTGGATCGTAAGCTCTCGATAGCTTGTTAGTCGCGGCCAAGTCGCGCGACAGTGGTCCGAATGCTTCGCGCATTACTAGAGGCGGTAAGCCGCCCTGGCACAGACGCCGGTGCACTTGCCTGAAGCTTGCCGGCACCAAGCCTAGCGCCCAGGCGGCTACCACTCTCAAAAGCCTTGAGAAGCTTTTGATGCCAATCTTGTGAAGGCTTTATGTGCAATGAATGAATGCGATGCCCGTCGAATTGTAGCGATTGAATTCAGCCATGAGACGCAGCGAATTGGTCGTGATAGTCGGCATCGTGGGTGGTGACGTAACATGAGTCAAGGTTTTCTGGGGAAGGACCTAACTTGACTTGGGCATGCACGATGCATCGGCCTGAACCCCGACCCGCTTCAATTGCCGACGGTTGAATGCGCGGCAATGCAAGGCTGTCCGATGACGATGAGCACGATTTTCGTGAGAGCAGTCGGCGTTTCTCAAGATCGGGCGCTTCAGTTTCCCAGTTTGACGATCGCAGTGCGCGACAGCGGTCGCTTCTCGTGTAGAGACGCGGGCGAAGACGGAGGGTGTGGTGTGAAGCTTGACCGATGAGCGTCGATGGTCCATAAGCGGCACCGGACCCGATGCCGCCAGGCTTACCAAGTTTACGTTCAAAAGAGGGACGCTGTCTCTGCGACGCTCACCACTGAACACGTCAAGTAGTATGGAGTGCGCGATAGAGGGATTAATCGCTGGCGACAGCAGCTCATATCATGAGAATGGGGAACAGGTGGATCGGACGGTGGTGTCGCTTCAGACTGTTGTGGCGGGCTTTAGGCCGTACTTTCGCTCGCCTACTCGATTTTACTCTCCTATCACATGAGCATAGGTGTCTCGTGGGTATAAAGCGGAACAAGGTACTTTCAAGACGCTGCGCCTCCGCTATGTTGTTTTTCACAATACCGCTTCAGATCCTCGCACCAGAGGCCGACCTTGCCATTCAACGTGTCCTCCATCATCAGCTTGACAACCCTTGACAGCATGCCAGTCATGATCTCCCACGTCCTGACCTCGCATTCGTTCTCGCCGGTGACGATGACCTCGTGGAAGCGCTCCAGCTTGGGCGCAAAGCCGTACATGCCGCCATTCCCAGTCCAACTCACCCTGTATACCTTGCTGAGGTCGGCCGTAAACGAGGGGTCTTCGAGAAGCTCGGGCGTGAGGTAGGACGTTGGTGCAGAGGGCGTGCTGATGTCGACGACCTTCAGCTGTGTCTTTGTGATATCATTCGGCTTGTCCGCGTTCATGATGACATGGAATTCCATGGAGCAGCCGATGCTCATTCGCTCTTGGCTAGTCGAATCGAGATCGTTCCCGGGAGACTGGATCTCCGCGACGGGTACCCACGTGTTCCATGCTTTGTAGTCTTTGGCGCGGAGAAGGGTGTCGAATACGAGCGACGCCGGCGCGTGCACTGACGTCGAGTAGGCGATGGTCAGGATGGCGTCCTTTCGCGGGACGATCTTGGTGGTGAGCCCTTTCGCGGGCGGCCAAGCTGCAGGTTCAGACATGGCGTAGTGAGTCGTGTATGTGTATGCGCATCGTGATGGAACGAGGTGCAGATAGCGTTTGCTTATGCTGACGACTGCGCCGCGTTGGCTTATCGAAGGACGCGCCTTATCGATAGGCTAGCCCCAGGGGTGAAGCCGAGGCCACCCTCTCTCGTCACACCGCACACAGTACACATCGCAACGTCTCAGCATGTGGCACCCTTTCGACAACATATCCGAGGAGCTCATTGATACCATCGTCAGCCAGATATGCTGCCGACGCACACTAGCAGCCTTATGCCGCGTGTCCAAACAACTCAACCGCATCGCTACTCCATATCTCTACGAGAACATCACGTTGTACTCGGATATAGGCGGAGAGGGAGCTCTGAGACACCTCCGCCCACTTGCGCACCGCTTTTTCGCCGATCCGTCTTTTGCTGCGCTCGTGAAGTCTATCGCCCTTCCAGATGGTTGGGGAGTTTGTGAGAGCGCGCCTCGCCTTGACAATCTCAAGGTGAAGCCATGGCCAAGAATCGAAACCCCCGAAACCGAGCAACTGTTAGAGCGAATATGTCGGGAATACTACCTCGATGAAACCAAGGCGCTGAGAATGTACATCAAGCTGTATGCAGCTGATGCGGACGTCATCATCACACTGCTCGTCGCGAATCTCCCAAATCTGGAGAGATTAGACTTGGAACTCGGAGAGTTTCGTGACCATAAGCTCTTTTGCAAAATGATCAAGGGGTCTGCCGGGCGCCTTGAGGCTAAGAAAGCGGCGTCACTTAATTCGCCAGAATCGTCCTTGTCTCCAACCGCCCCATTGCCAAAACCTGTCGATGTGTTCATCAGAGATTCTGAGGCTGGCGACGTTGAATATCTGGCATCATTCTTCTCCCTGCCGAATCTTCGCTCCATGTACGCATTCAAGTTTGGGGATGACGATGAAAATATTAATCTAATGGAGAGAGACCCATTCACCGTGTTGGAGCCGCACTCTTGTGGCGTGCAACACATCGAGCTCAGAGCCTCCTCGCTGGCAACGCATACGTTGCGAGACTTGATCGACGCGACTATACCGGGGAAACTCGAAGCTTTCCTGTACGAGAGGGCAGGTCCTTTCACGTCGCGCTCGGCGGAGCTTCCCTTTCTCATGCGTTGTCTGGAAAATCATCAAGATCACCTAGAGACTCTGGCGCTCGGTTACGAGGAGATCGAGGGCCATACGGTATTTGAACAAACATGGTGGGAGTTCTTTGACAGACGGCCGGAGGCCATGTCATTCACTTCATTCAAGTCTCTTCGCCGCCTCCGAGTAGCGCCGGAAATGATCTGGGGATACACCCATGACGAATGCACCGTCCAGGACGAGGATGAGATCATGACAACTATAGACATGTTTTGGAAAGCCCTTCCAGCATCCTTGGAAGAGTTTTGGCTTACACGGTCGCAAACCCATTGGATACCCGGCTTTCAAGTTTGGGATCTCTGCATCATCCCGCGCATCCTTATACCTGCGCTCCATCGTCTTGTGGAGCAAAGCAGCGAAGCATGTCCCCATCTCCGGTCAATCCGCATTGAACTCAGACCTACTCATTGGGATGCCCTGTGGCTAGACCTACTGGCCGAATTCTGTCACGAGGCCGAAAGGAAAGGTATATACTGCACTGTCATCTTCCTCCACATTTGGCGTGGAATTTCGTACGGTTCCGAAAAGAGTGATACGTGCGAGCGCAATTGGGGCTGGAATGAAGATTTTGAGTGGAGCGAGATTTTCATGAATGCAAACAAGATATGGCGAAAATATAGCATTCGTGCAGCGGACGAGGACGATTTGAAGGGGAAGATGCGGGCGCTCAAATACGGCATTTTCTTGGAACACACACGAGGACTCATCGACCGCTGGAACGATAGACACCTTGACGGTAACTCGTCGTTATCTGTACAGCTCGACACCGACACTCAGGACTAATGTGCTCTTATGAGCATACAAACAGTCCGCAAGCGCAACGGAGCTCACCCGGGAGTGGTCACTGTGTCATTCAACCGTGTCGGTGGAGCCACCCGAAGCAGGCAGTCTGCTCCGAGGTCAGGTTTGGGGGTATGGGTTCAATCAAAACGGAAACATATGTACAAGCAGACGGCACCAAATATTTACAAGAACAAAAGACACCGCAACATATACAACCCTCACCACGAAGCCGCAACCTCAGACATCAGACTGTGTAGTCGCGCCAATAGCAGCACCGCTCTTCGGCACGAGAAAGTCGCTCTTCGGAACCCTTCCATCAGCACCTCTTGCCTTCTTCAAGGTAGCAGGATCAACGCTCACGAAGCTAGCATCCGACCAGCTGCCCGACTGCCACGAATTACCCGTCGCCTTGATACCCGACGCGGTGAGGCTAACCTGCGAGCTACCCACATTCGAAACAGCAATATTGTTCTTCATAGTCGAGCTGGAGCTGCGGAAATTGAAGCCCACATCACCATTCTTCCACGCGGTATTGCGCTCGACCGTCAAGCTACCAGGGTTCCCGTTGTCAATAAACCCCTTCTTCGCATTGGAGAACGCCATGCAGTTGCGCACAATGTGGTTGGCAGGCGGGTTGTCCGTGATACCGAGCTTGAAGCCGTTGCCGTCGCCCTCGAAAGAGGTGAAGTCCCACCGGTTGAAGCCGTTGCCCCATGCATATACTTCTTCCAGTGTGACGGACGAGCCGAACATGAAGAGGTCGAGGCCGTCGTCGACGTTCTCCCATAAGCGCGCATTGCGCAGGACGTTGCCTTCGCCCGACCCTTCTTTGCAGGCGAAGCCGTCGGCGGACTCGCCGTTCTTGCGCGGGTCGCGGTTGCGGTAGGAGTCGAGGTATACTACGGTGTTGTTGGAGGAGGCGCCCTGGAGTTGGAAACCGGTTTCGTAGTTGTCGTGGGTGGTGAGGAGTTCGTAGTGGTTGTGCGACGCGTCGCGGGCGTATACGCCGTATGGGCCGTTGATGATCCTGGGCGATGTGTTAGTATGTAAGACGATTGGGGTGCGGAGGTAGATAGGTGTACCTACTCCAAGTTGTAGAACTTCCAGTAGTTCGCTTTCTCGATGTGGAGAGCACCGCGCTCTTTGTTCGGTAGAGACTCGTCTAGAGCGTACGGTGTGCCGGGCATGTTTTCGCCATCGATGATGACCTTCTCCTTCTCGAAGGAACGGAGTGTGATGGGCTGGATCCTGGTGCCGCTCTTGGTGATTTGGATGTTTGTCGTGGGCTTGTATGTACCAGCGCGTAGAAGGATCACATCGCCAGGCGCAGCAGCGTTGACGGCTGATTGGATTGAGCCAAAGGGTGCGGAAGAGGTACCCGTCCCTTGACCTGTTGGCGAAACATAGATGTCTTTGGCATTTGCAGAGGCAGATAGCGCAGCGATAGCAGCCGCGAAACTAAGCGAACGCATGTTGAAAAGTAGTATGATAATACAAGATGGGTATTGAGAGGTACTGGTAGGCCAAGGATGTTCTGCATTCCAACAACGAACAAGCTACGGACTCTATATACTCCTAAATCAATCTCCGTGGCATCTCGCGAACCCAAGATTTTGTCGCCTGTCATGAGTCCGTACCTCTGTACCTCTCGTGTCAGTCGCCAAGATGTAATAGATGAGCATGCGCCGTCGTCGAAGCTCCACCAATGCCTTAAATTTCCGACTCTTCGCTTCGTGCAACCCTCGACGCGGTGACACAGGCGCCCGAATGAGCAAGCTCTGCTGTACCCCACAACTCGCTTGCGGTAATTATTCATGTCGCACGTGGTGGCGCATGCGAGTGGGTATGTGATTGATGGATCGCACAGACGGAGTTTCAAAACATCGCCAAGGGAGAGGAGGTTTTGCGCTATGCAGACATTGGTGCAGAAGACCTTTATTGCGACCAGGTAGTAACGGGAGAACTTTGACCGAGGGACTATACATCCGATTCATGGATCTCTATACGTGCTGTTGCGAGTCGCGCGCAGGTGATGGTGTGGTGGTGAGGTGGTGTTGAAGGATAGTGTTCAGTAATCGAGATGGCCGACCAGCGGCAATGGCGGCCGCCGAATGCGCCAAGCTAGTCCAGATCTTGTGTTGCCCCCAACGCCAGTCTTAATGCCTGTTGAACAACTCGATATTGACGAAAAACGGCCTCATGTACCTTGTGCTGGCAGGGGAGAACGCTCGTTCACTGTCGTATTACACGCATCCAAGCCCACAATCTGGATCTCGTTGTCGCGTTACCTTCCACGCATCGACATCTTCCGGAGAGATCCCACTAACACCCTTCCACCATCCATCTTGGGTAAAGTTGAAGGGCCAGGAGTCGAAAGCCATAAGTCCAATGTTTGTCTTCTCTTCTTCTGTCTCCAGCTCTTCCTTCGCTTTGTACAACAAGTCGCGCAGCAATGTCGCCCCGAGGCCCTTGAAGTGTACGTGAACAAGCATCTCATCGACATGCGACGGTACGCTTGCGTTGGGCGTCAGGTGGAATGGTAGATAGACCATCGGCCACGTATAAGGGTCTTGAGGGTCCCATTCTTGTGAGTCGTCGACTGGCGATCGTTGATCCTGCTTTGCGTGTGTCTTGTGTGGTGTAAGTACGTGGTCAATCTTGTCCGGGTCGCTGGCCGCGATCGTCGGACAGCGACGGTGCAACACCGTAGATGGCGTTATCACAGGCGGTGTCGAAAGTGAAGAGCCACGAGCCGGCCATAGGTTCGTCCCGCTCGGCCAGCCTTCGAGCGATCCTGGTACGTCGCGGTAGAATGAGGTGGGAGAGCTCACACGCCAAGGAACTTGCGCTGTGGTAATGAGGTAGATACCCTCATCCGGACTGTAATCTGGTGTTGATGGATTCTCTGGGCTCGCTCTCGGTGACAGTCCCTTGTCGCAAGCGCTCGCCACGACCCGCGCTACCTTTCCCTCATCACTGTCAGATGCTCGTTGTACGTAGCCCTCGGCTATGCATAGTGGTGGGAACGAGGTGTATGAAGTCGAAAGATGTATAGGTTGCGTCATAGTCGCGAACTCCGTGAGAAGAGTCCGAGACGTGGTAGTTACCTAAAGGCTTAGTTAAGTGTATACCACGACTCCACTTTGAGCGCGCTTCGGGAAAGCTCCGCAAAGAAAAGGTGGAAATACTGGATCACGTATTACGCGTGACTAGATCGATGGACTTGCTGCGAGCGTGTTTTATTCAGCGTGTAACTGTTGAACCGCTAAGAGTTCGACTTCACGATATGACGGGCATGACGCGCCACTAGCGGAGAGAGCGCACATCGGGAAGATGGTAAGTATGTTTAGTATCTATCTAACCGCTATCAGCAACACACAAGCGCGGTATATGCACGCAGCAAGACCGTCAACGCGCCGTATTGAAAGCTGACACATTCTGACATGTGGTGTTGGTTCTGAACCTCTTCGCAGACCGCCATCTTAGAACATTCCACCATGAATATCGCGCTTTCCGTGAGTTGAATCTTCGGCCGTGTTGCCGCCGGTGAGCAGACTCGTCGCGTTGCGGACAATACTTGTCGTAGCTAGAATGTTCATGAGAGTGATCTCGTCCGACTTCTTTGTCCAGTCCAGATCATTAGGGAGACGTTCATTCTCTGCTCTAACGTTAGCTTCCGGTCTAACATTGCGCTCGACAAGTTTGCAAGTCGTGGGTGGACTCACCAAAGAAGTACTCCATCAACGTGCGGTTGACAGTACCCTCCTCAAGAGAACCGAAGGCGATGATAGGCGCTGCGACTTCACCCAGACTGAACTCTTCGGTAGAAGCAGTGAAGGTATAGTTCGGGTTCGTTGCTCGGCTCTCCAATTGACGGAAGATCTTGGAGTTGGCCAGCATCTTGGCTGTCACCACCTCTTCCGTCCACCACTGCTTTGATACATTGTATACTGTCTCATTGAAGATGTGGTTGTTGCCAAATGCCGCATCGGTACGCGTCAGACTGGCGTCATGTTCGAGAACATTGTGGACGTTGAGCTGTTCGAGCGTGAAGAAAGTCGCGTTTGGTTCGGGATTGGCAATGATTGCTTGCTGCCACATCAGCGCGCCGAGAGACGCGTTGAAGTTCAAGCCGTCCTTCAAGCCCTTGACTACGTTCTCTTGAGTGAAGTTACGGCCATCGCGGGGAAGAAAGCCGTGGTTCGCTAGGGTGTTAAGCATCGGGCATGGGCCGCGGACTGCGGATATCAGCATTAGACCTTGGTTCCACATAGAAGCATGTACACATACAGTCGTTTGGCGACGCCGCCATCCAAGCATGAGGATCCGCAGGTGCGGCATCGTACTGAGGTCTCGCCGAGGCGAGTGTCGCGGTAGAAGCGACGAAGACGGTAGTAAACTTCATGATGGAGTGGAAGATAGTAGTGATGAACGGATGGTAGTCACGAAGCGAATTGAGTTGCTGTGTAGGCTGTTGTTGCACCACTGACAAGAATGGAGCCATGTCTTATATGTCTCTTCGAAGACACCAGGTTTGACAGCTCTAAAAGCAACATTAGTAAACACCTTCGTCCGTGTGGTATACGCGTAACAGTTATTGTTAGTTTGTGGTACCAGCTTCGCAACCAAGACCAGATAGACAGCAACATAGTGCCCGCATCCTAGGTGATGCACGCCGGGAAGGGCGCACAGCCATGCTTCTGGTGTCGATCCGCGGAAGCGCGAGATCTAAAAGCCCCAGATCCTTTGTTTCAACAACATATCTGGCCAATAAGGTTTTCGCCGATTGAATAGCACAGTGCAGGGCGACGTCACATCTGGGGCACAAGTCGTATACCGGAAAGAGTACGGCTCTGAGGACCGTGCATACGCGGTGCACTTCGTTGTCGGTCTCGCACTCGCACTTCCAGACTGCGCCGACGACTCTTTACATCAGAAGTCGTCGTCATGATTTTCATCTTTCATGTTCGAATTGAACTGACCAACGCGTTCATCTCCAAGGGATCAGTTTTTCAGCCCCCGCTTGGAATGACCTGATCCCTGGGAAGAGAGCCGGACGAGTCTCTTCCGCAATGCCGGAGAAGTCGGCTTTGAGAGTAAGATGACTAGTACGTATCGCAGCCTTTGAAGAATGCTGAAAATAATATGGCTCCATCCATGTCGTCGTGATGGTGTCGACTCACTACCAGCACAACATCGCCGTTGGCTGAAGGCTCGTTGCGGCGGATGGTATCGCGTCGCCAGACACGAACACGAGAACAAGTAAGGAAGATACTGCCACCAGGAGATATATTTACATCCGGAACACGTCCGTCATATTCGGTAGAGGAATTGCGCAATGCTTGTCGTGATGGATGCTTGATAGAGCGAGAGCACAGCGCGACAACGGGTGCGAACGAGGGGCAGCCTTTCGTCTGGGCAGGCACGGGTGGCAACTGGCAACAACAACCCAGAACAACCTCGTGACATCTCCAAGGCTTCCAAGGTTGCCCACAACACCCAAACACACGGCAGACTCACTAAACGCGCCGAATAAGCGGTCAACCCCTCACCAAATACCATTCCATTACCCTGCTGCTACTGCGTCTATTCCAGCCCGTTCTGATCCCATTACCCCCAAACCCGTACCTGCGCAAGCCTCACCTCGCGCACCTCCGGTCCAACGAAACCGCGTCCCCACGTCCCTCCACATGCGCCTCACAAAAGGCCATCACAACCCCTCTACCCCTCGCGACAACTATTCGCTGTAGACCCTGATCCTTCAGCGCAAACCTACGCTGTCTGAGGCGAGGCGGCGTGCGGCTCTGGCTCACGCTCGGCAGCCAACGAGACGTGATTGGCTGTGTGTAAACGCCACTAACTTTGCCTTGCAGCCAATTCTAGTCGCTACAACGAGGGTCACGGAGTGCGCTAGGCTGTCCTCACCTCTTTGTGGCCAGCAGGTGCTGCGATTTGGTCGGGATAGGCATGGTTGAAGGATGTTCTGGAAGGTGACAATACGGCGTAATGGGGTGCTATTCGTAGCACGACAACCCCTCATGTTCTTACTATTTTGATTGACAACCCAGCATATCCTTTCTCTCATTATTGAAAGTAGTTCCTGTCGCTTTTCTTCTGTCATACTCTGGACTTTCGATCACTGCACTACTGTCGTTACATCAAGCCTCTAGTTAGACCCTCGTCGTATCTCTCTCTCTCGAATTTTGGCAACACAACGCTTTTACATCTTCAATCATCTTTACTCGAAGGACCGAACAACCTGTCACGACAACGACCACCAAACACACATATTCGTCTTATCATCGCTTTCTACCTTACGAACACAAAGCTTTCGCATCTTCAATCATCTCTACTTGTAGAACCTATCAACCTCCTACAACAACCACCGCACACACACAATGCCACCAACCCCCCTCCCCACCACGACCCTCACCCCCGAAGCCCCCCCAGCCATAATCCCCATCCCAAACGGCAGCTCCCGGCGCGACGGCTTCAGCCCCGGCGCCATAATCGGCATCGTAATAGCCATCGTGTGCCTCCTCCTACTTGTCCCCATCATCGCCATCCTGCTCCGCCGCTACGAAAAGACGCGGTTACGCGAGACGCCCAAGCTCAGTCCGGGAAGCAGCAGCGATATCAGTCTGCGCAGTGTGCAGGAGAATCATAGTTTGAAGAGCATTTTGGTGACGAAGGAGCTGTCGAGATCGAGTATGAGAATGGAGATGGATAGGGTGGATTCGGGAAGTGGGATTAGGAGGCCGGAGGATGTTTATGGGCAGGGGAGGGAGAGGGAGAGGGGGTGGAGTTGTACGGAGGTTAGGGGTGGGTGAGAGGGAGAGGGGGTTTGTGATCTTGGTTTCTAGGGCGACTGGTCGGAAGATTGAGTGCGCGGATGCCCATGCGACGAGTACGAGCGACTTGCCGCAGGTCGAGCGCCGCAATATGCATTCATGGAGATGGAGATGCGCACACGCTCACGCAGCCGAGCCTGCGAGGAATGCTCCGCCAACTATAGAAAGTGTGAGCTCCGTCATGAGGTACGTTTAGTTGGATCGGCCGGGCAATAAGTGCATACAGCACGTCGGGTGGAGAATGGCTTGGCCGAGAAGCAGTACTGAAGACACGAAAGAGGCTCGACTGGTCGATGTTTCTTCTTGGATCGGGCCAGCGGGATGATGAGAGATGGCAACTCAGCACCAAGCAACAAGCGCCGAGACGTAATCTCCACACCCTACAACTTCCGATAAAGATGAACCTGCATACGCATATTCTCCAGCTCAATCGGATACCTTAATCTCTCATCCAACCTATACCACCTACTATCATCCTCTTTAACCTTCTCCCACCTAACAATCTCTTCCTTGCCGCGCTCATTCAGATTCCCGCTGGCCTGCTTCAACAGCGTATGATCGAGGAGCCATTGCATGGGGTACTTCTTCTCAGCGCCGTTCAGCGTGACGGATGAGTAACTTCCGGGGCTGTCGACGACGAGGAGGAGAGCGCCGGGTTGGAGGACAGATGTCATGAGGAGAAGAAACTTTTGGGTTAGGGGCAGTGAGGCTGTGTAGAGTTCGTTTAGGGTGAAGAGGAGTGTGACGAGGTTTGCGTCGGCGAGTTGTTCGGATAGTTCTTCAGCCGAGGCCTGGAGTACGTCTTGCTGCTTGAATCGTACGGTGACGTCTTCTGGGTTAAGAGGTGGAACGTTTGCGGCTCTTGCAGCGGCGGATGCGTATTTCGACAGTTCGGCTGGGACTGTGAGTTGTTTGGCGAGGTTCTCCACGACCACACTCCAGTCGGCGATGTCGATGGCGGTAATTTCCACATGACCTCTCGGGCCATCTACATCTTCCCCGTCTTGTGAATACGTGGTAGACATGAGCTTTTGCAAGCCGCCTAGTGTCACAATCTCCGCGCCCGCTCCACCACCCAAACACACAATCTTTCTGTTCTTCGGCTTGACTTGCTCTGTCCTGCCTTCTTGATCCTCTTCCTCCTCTTCCTCATCAACCCACAACTCATCCCTCAACTCCCACATGAGATCCAAATATCCCAACGCGCGACTCGGACTCCACCTCGCCGCATACGCCTCCAAATACTCCTTCTTCCCAAACGCAGTCGCAAAGTCGCGCTTGTAAAGATGGCCCTTGACTTCCTGCAACAGCGGCGTAATATCCGCGCTCATCCTCTCCGCAAACGAGTTGCGGAAAATGTTCAACAAAAGTTGCTGGAGTTCAATCGGAATGTAAGAAATCCCCGGTCCTTTAGCGCCATTCGCCAGACGCTTTTCTGGCTTTTTGGGTTTCGCAGGTTGGGTTCCTTCTCTTTGCGCCTTGCGCTTTGCGTTCAGCTTGGAATTGGGCGCCATGTCTGTTATTGTTTGTGTTGTTGTTTACAGCCGAGTGCGACAGTCATCGGACTAGGTGGGAAAGGATGGTGAAAGTCTCGTTATCGATAAGTGGTAAGCGAAGAGAGTTGTGATTCGTCCCCGCCAGCTCAGTGTTCGGAATGCGTTCCGACGGCTCCAGCTCTATTGCCGACCTCGGGGTATGTGGTGACGAGCACGCAGCTTGACTCATCTCGATCTCAACGAAGAGGAGGACACCCGTTTGACTCAGACTGAGTCTCTATCTATATAAGTCGACGAGAGACGTTCACAGCTACAAAAACATTTCATCAATTCACCGACCTCACAATGCGTCTCCCCTACGTCCCCGACCCCCCAAACTTCACGTCCGAAGAAGACAAAGCCGTCGAGCAGCGCGTCAGACAACGGCGAGGCGAGAAGGGTCTCATAGCTCTGGACCGAACCTTGCTCCATGCTCCTCCCGTAGCAGATGGATGGTAAGTTCCAGAGCATCATGCTCCAATCTCTCATGACATGCTGTCCTACCTAGTCCACACACGATGGAACGGCGCATAGCACAGCATACCCACTCCAACCACTCTTCCATCTTTCCACCTTCCCACTCCAGTATACAACTCCCTAACAACCAAATCCAGGAACTCATTCCTCGGCTCCATCCGCACAAAAACCAGTCTGCCCACATCCATCCGCGAAACAGCCATTTGCCGCGTTGCAGTTCTGAACAAAGCATGGTACGAATGGGAGTCTCATTCGCCGATCCTAGAATCAGCTCAAGGTACATATAGCCCTCATTCCCCTATCCCCTTTCCTTCTCCCCTTCTCTTCTCCTCTACCACCACTCCCAAACACTCACTTACTTACTTACCTTCCACCAAGCCGTCACAAAACCCCAAGTCCTCGCCGTCCTAAACTCCTCACCCAGACAACCACTCGAGGCATTAGGAGACAAGCTATCCGCCGTACTAGCTTACACGGACGCCATGACACTAGACGTTCGTGTGCCAGACAGTGTGTTCGAGCAGTTGAAAACGGTGGGGTTCAGCGAGAAGGAGACTGTGGAGATTACAGCGACGGTCGCGGCGTATAATTGCGTGAGTAGGTTTTTGGTTGCTTTGGATGTGGGGGAGAGGAATGCGCAGACGGGGCCGAAGGAAGGGGGGAAGGAGTAGGCATCTATGAGGCCATGTGTTGATGTATTTGGCGAATGAGTCACTCAGCTTAGTTTGTCGAATGCATGTAGCATTGTATGTTTGCTGCATTTCAAGCACAGGCTTGACTTATCTCATGTGTATATTCTCCATCTAACTGCCTGCACAACTCTCTCCTACCCCTTCATCGTCTTCCGACATCTCTCACGCCACCCTACTCTGCCTCGCAATCTTCCTCCTCTGCGCCAACATATGCGAGAACAGAATATAACTTCCTGGGACATAGATGGCGAGTATAGCCCAAAGCGCGTATCCATACAATTCGTTTTTCTCACTAGCCAAAGGGATTGCCTGGTACACCAACCAGCACTCACTCGAGATACCGAGCGGGTAGAGCACCAAGAACGTGTTGTATCGCAACCAGGTCCACAGTTTAGGGACGCCGGCACCCGATAGCGAGAAGACGAAGTAGGAGTAGCGGATTACTTCCGTCACACTCCAGGCGAGCAGCATGGTGCTGTAGGCGGGCGAGTGGCGGGTCGAGAGGGGGAATGCGGGGGGTGACGCGATGAGGTGGACGAGGAGGAAGCGGGATGCGACTTGCATGAGTGTGGTGAAGAGGGGGGCGCGGACGAGGCCTGTGGTTTGTTAGCAAGAATCCCAATATGCACAACGAAGGCTCCCTTCAGGCTCGGGCGCAGAAGACACAAGGAGAGGAATTCATTCCACCATCCTCCCCTCCGCCTCCCCTCCGCCTCCCCCGCCCACCCATGCGGAAGAGACCAGTGATGTTGTTAGCATGGTTGATCAGGCCACCGAATATCCATCTCCCAATGTGCACAACCAAGATTCCTGTCGCGAAAAGACCGATTCAGGCTCGAGCGCAGAAGACAGGAGAAGGAGAGGAATTCGATCCACCATCCTCCCGTCCGCCTTCCCCACCCACCCGTAAGAGATAGTAACATACCAACAAGACTATGCAACACCTCCATCCCCGCCAACGTCTGCACCCCCCTCGTATACCCCTCCAAATTCCCATACACCTTCCCACTGCCCAACCCCCTCTTCGTGGCCGTAAACCAATCGCCTTTACCAAAGAACTTCCCAGCCTTCTGTGCATTCACCACCTCATTCGCACCGATAGTAACAGTCTGGAAGAGTACGCCTGCCCATAGCGCGGCGGAGACGGCGTTGTACAGCATCAGGTATGCGTTCTTCGCTCCTCCGGATGGTTTGGAAGGTCGCTGGTCGTTGGGGGCCGCGGCCTGGGATGTTTTGGATTTGGTGGACATGTTTCGTGGGTCAATTGTGATGCAATTGATCTGAAGGAAGTGAAGCAAAGATGGAAGAAAGCGGGCCTGGAGATAAGAAAGTGAGGTGACGGGGTTTGTGTGTGCCTGGGGCCCAAGGGAAGTATGCAGCAAGCTGCCCTTTTCTGCGCATGCAGCTTGCTCGCTCGCGTACCTGAGGACCCTTGTTCTTGGCGCTGCTGAGTCCCGAGGTCCATCCACGTGGGATGAGATCATCATAGATTATTTCGGCGTGAGCGCCCATGACCTTCATCATCGCAATGAACAAGATATTCGGGACACGTAGCACATCAAGATTCACGCGCAATCAAATCAGAATCATCCATATCGCAGATTCATCTAAATCCTCGCATACTAATTACACCCGTCATTCCTCATCTCGCTCTTCTTATATTTCACCGGGGGCAATAGGGCACGCTCAGAGAATCGACCGCTCGCAGGTACTAGTACCCTACGTAAATTCAATTGAAAACATCCATGCAAAAAACGCCCTGCTATGCAAAATGCAACAAAATGCGGATAGATATGATAAGAGAGAGAGAGAGAGAGATGCAAGCAAGGGTATCGTCAAACCACCCAACCATGACTGCGAGCCGAGATGTAGGTCCTAGAAGTTGAGAAAGACTCATGAAAGTATCCATCTCTTGAAATGTGTAATGTTGGCTGATCACAAGAATACCTGAATCATGCTCTTCTTGTGGGACACATTCTTATCGCAGTCGTCAACCACACAAACTTTGAATGGGTTCGTATTTGCGCGCGTCTCCTTGCCTTTAGCACTACGCTTCGCCGATCGATTGGCTGTGCATTCGCCGCAGTATACCTAGCATTAATATGTTAGTTTGTCGTCGTGCCATCCGTCAAAATTAGAACTTACATGACCGCATCCCTTGACAATCCACACCTGCCTCTTGATCTCGTCGCTGCCGACACACAACTGCTCCTCGCAATTGGGACATATAAGCGCCTCTCCTTCTTCTTCTGGACTCCTCGTGAAGCCCTCCGGAGCTGGTGGTGGCGCGTCGTAGGTAGCGGGAGGAGGCGGTGCTTCGCGTACCCGTGGGCCAATGTCGAAGCCTATGACATCGAAGTCCAGCATGGGCGCTTGGAATGCGCCTACTCGGATGTGCGGCGCACGACCCCGAGAGGCACTGCGCGAAGGGGCGACGGGTTCGTGGAAGCGGTTTGCGGTGCGGTTGACCTGTTCGTGGAATCGATCGACTTGGGCTCGGAGGTGCGTGAAACGTCCGTTCAATGTCCCAAAGAGATCCATGACGTTGTCCAACTGCTCGTTCCTCTGCCGTCTCCGTACCTCTGCCTCTGGTAACGCGTTCGCCCGTATGAACCGCACATCCTCGCCATCGGATTCGTTCTCGTCGACTGGTTGAAGGTGGCGCTGACCGGGTATTGTGCGCGACGAAATGAACTCGATCTCGGGCGAGCTTGGTTGCGGCGCTGGTGGATCGGGGTGCCACTCCTCCTCGCCATTGTCGAGGTCGATGATGATGTCAAAGCCCCTTGGCAAACGACGTGGGTGACGGCCACCGCGATGCGACTCTTGCTGTCCTCTGTCCTGTTGTTGTTGTTGTTGCTCGCGTGGGTTGTTGCCATTGTGACTCTCCCCGTCGCCCGAATCATCGGCTGTCAAGTCAATGATGTCGTCGTCCTGGCTCAGGTCGATAGCCACGTCGTCCTCGTCGTCCCCCGTCAGATCGACAGACGCTGTTGTGTGTTGACTTGCCGAGCCAGCCGGCCGCCTGTAGTCGAAGCCATCGCCCGCGAACCGTCTGGATGCTGAAGACGCCATGTTGCCCAACCTTGGCAGGTGTAACCCGGCGGTATGCGAGTGCTGGGCGCTGGAGGAGGCGCGTTCTATGGGCGGGCGGGCGTGCGATCGCAGTGCAGACTCGAAGGTCGGGGTGGGCGGGCGGTCGAAATGATAGCGGGCGGGTGGGTCGTAGATGTCGTTAGCAGGGCTCTGCCTATCGTCGTAATCGTATCCGAAGGGAAGGCCGTGGTAGGTTGGGGGAGCTTCGCGGTTGTCGGGGAAGGAGCCATGTCTCCAGGCAGGCGAGGCAGACGCTTGCTCGCCGTCCATTTGTGCATGTGAGCGCTGCAGCAGCCGTGGTCAGCGCCTCTTCACCCTGTTGTTGTTTATGTTGGCGGTACTACCGCCGACGGCACTCACCTTCTGCTGTCTGTGCGTGAACCCACTCGGTCGTCCTTCGCCTTCCATGCCGGATGCCAGGCTGGTGATGGTTGCGGGGTGCGTGGTGAGGTTGGCGGCGGGCGATAGTAGCACCGGCAAGTGTCGAAGGGGGAAGGTTGGGCCCGTCTCGTGCCGTTGGGGGTGCTGAGTTCGGCGAAACTGTGGTGGCGCTCCAACATCCATCTGGGCAGTATGACAAACGCCAGAACGTCAAATCCAAAATCACCCATCACCCTTCACCGTTGATTGGAATCGAACAATGACTATAGACCGCTATTCTGTCCGTATCTATCGTCTTCTGCGACCCAGCCCCTTCACCAAAGCGCATTGTTTTGCTCTTGCATGTGCGAGATGGATCGTGACGTAGTGTTTTACAGCATGTGGTAGTATCCTATTCAAATTTCGGTCGTAAAACCCCCCAGCCTAAATGCATCCGCGAGCTCCTGATTCTACACACTGATGAAATAGCAGCCAATGTACACATCTGCCTGCCCTGTCACAAAAACTTTACGCCATCAAAAGTCACCCCTGAAGCCCAAAACACTTCAAACTGCTGCCAATACAACCAAGCCACCCTCTGGGTTCAGGGCGACTACATTCTCGGCCTTGCCACCCCAGGCGACGTCCTTCGCTGGAGCTGCCTTCCTCACCAGCTCAGCCCAGCTCTTCGACGCCTTGGTGTATTGTTGCACAGAGACGCTGCCCGTGCCGGCAATCGCGAGGAACGTGCCGGTATAGTCCCAGCTGCAGCTGGTGACTGGGCTGCCAGATTCTAATGTGTGGATGGCTGCCTGCTTCCGGATATCCCAAATCGCAACGCTGGAGGAATTCTGCTGTACAACGGCGAACCACGTTCCGTTCTCGGAGAACTTCAGATCCGCAACGGGCGCGCCAGTCTCGAGTTCAGCCATCTTGGCACCAGTCTTGATGTCGTATATCCGAATGTTGCCGTCGGAGCTTCCGAGGAAGAACAGCATGCCGTCGACGTGGAAGGAGACGCAGGTGATTTCCGCTTCGACGTAGACTTGCGAAACGGTCTTGAAGGTGGTGAGTTCGTGGATCGCGTAGCGCTTGTCGGCGCCGGCGGTAGCGAGCATCTTGCCGCTGGGGTGTAGCGACATGGATGTGACGGCGCCAGCGTGTGATCCGATCTGGGCAACCTCATCGCCGTTGGAAAAGACCTTGACTGTGCCTGTCGAAGTGCCGATAAGAGCGCGCTCTCCCCACCATGCTGTCGAAGTGACGGCGCCACCAGCGTTGAATGTCTCCAGAACCTTGCCTTGGGCCAGCGAGTAGACACCCGCGGTACCGTCAGCTCCACCGAATAGGACCAGCTCAGCCTCGTTGACAGCGATGCAGCTGCTGCCTGGGAATAGCGAGTCGGTCGTCTTGGCAATGTCGTAGTTGGAGATGGCGTCTCCAGAGGCCCAGCCGGCGGGTACGGGTCTCTTTCGTCGCGAGCCAAACAGCCTGTAGTGCGTTAGTCGGGCCTCTCACATAGTATGTTATCTCGGGGGGGAAAGACTCACTCTTTCTGTGTTTCGTCGACGAGGGCGGCAAGCTCCTCAGGCAGGCCCTGGCCGTCCACCTGCATCGCATCGCCCTGGCCGCCGCCTCCACTAACGGTGACGTTGGACAGAGCTTCGCGCGCCTCGTCTCGCTCTTTTGATATGCGCGCAATGACCCGTGTCGCCGCGTCGTTCTGGTAGAGCGCCGTACTCAGCTCCTGCCTCGTTTGCGCCAAGTGCTGCTTGAGCGTGTGTGTCTCTAGTACCAGGGCATCCCACTCATTTTGGAAGGCGCTGAGCATGGCGGGTATCGAGGTGAAGCTGGGGGCGCGTGGGGTGACGACATTGGGCGACTTGAGCTCGATGAGGTCCTCGGTCGCGAGGTCTTCGCCAGTAACGGGGTCGGTGTGGTGTTCCGAGATGTGCGCCTCGATCAGGCGCTTTTCGAAGACGTTGCCCGATTTGCGCGAGGCAACGGGTTCGCGGGGAGCTTCGCCAGAGATTGCGCAAAGCATGGTGACGTGGAGTGGTGTTGGAGGTTGTTGCTGTCGCGCTCGTGAACTTTTCGGTCTTGGGCCAGAGGCGCGCTAGTCTCCGTCCGTGCGCGTAGATGGTCCAGATATCTCAGGAACATCCACCCCAAACACTTGTTGGAAGTCTACATGGCCACGCTTTTCTGTATGTGATAATCTAGAGTGGTGTCTACATCTCCAAGTACGGTTTGTGTTATAGTCCTTGAAGCTGGTCTCCCATACAAGACATTCGCGTGCTCCGTGTTGCCGCCTTGTGCCCAGAACGAGTTGCTCTTACACGGTGAATCCGACGTACCTAGCTAGGGCTCAAGAAATGCGGCCTGCTGTTCCCGCCCTCTACATATCCCAATAAAGCGTTCCAGGTATCTTTCATGGGATATGCTATAACTCTATCCGCTCGTGTGGTCCTTCCCGATTAAACTTGACCATGCAGTAGCTGAGACCACACGCCCGGTCCGACATGCTCGCCCGGTACAAGCTTGTCCGCTAGCCAGCAAGGTCGGTATCACAAGCGCTGTTCAACTTCGGGAAAAACATTTACAACATATCATGGAACTCGACGCCTGAACTCTGGACTCACGACATGTCACCAACTTTACCATTTGTCTTGGCGTTCTTCAGCCGTCTGCTTGGCGATGGAAGCGCGAAGGCACGCCGGCACCAGAACTCGGACCGGCATCTCGCACTCCCGACTTCCATCGAATCAGCGTAACCGCCGTGCGTCGCGCCTCGCACCCGCGTAAACAAACCTGATCGTTTACCCCAGAGTTTTGCGCCTCGTATGTCCTCCAGTCCAAGCGAACCCCAAACGGGATTCTCTCCGGGTAAACAAGCTCTCCACAGCGTGAATCTACGGAACCAATGACCCCGCCATGTTCCCTCTCTGGCCCTCGCATCGTTGCCAAGCCATGCAAGTCCGACCTCCATGATGACGGTACTGCGGGGGAGCGCGCCTTGGGTGCATATCCGCCTATCCTAGCCATGCAAACGGTAAGTCTGAACCGAGATCACGATGCGTGCTTTGTTGTTGTAATGCATCGGACTAGCACACACGGCTGCACGCGCTCGAGTATAAGAAGGCGAAGGTTCCCTCGGACGATCAGCATCCAACACGGTCCTGGCTTTCTCAATACCTTCAGGCACCATGATCACCAAAGGCCTTCTCGCTCTTGGGGCGGCGGTACCTGCATTTGCAAGTTCGCTGGTTCAACGCCAAAGCTCATCACTTGAAGCTTGCCCTGGGTACACTGCCAGCAACCTTCAGGATAATGGCTCCAAGGTTACCGCGGACCTTACGCTTGCGGGCACCGCTTGCAATGTCTACGGCGACGACTTGACTGACCTCAAGCTTGAGGTCGAGTACCAGACTGGTGCGTTCTTCAACCATTACAATCACCCCTGGCGCTAACCAATCTTACAGCCGAACGCCTCCACGTAAAGATCTTCGATGCTGAAGAGCAAGTGTTCCAGATCCAAGAGTCTGTCTGGCCTCGTCCTTCCGATGACGAGGGTGTCAACCCCGAGGACTCTGCCCTGTCATTCACATGGACCGACAGCCCGTTCTCGTTCGCCATCAAGCGCAAGGAGACCAACGAGACTCTCTTCGACACCTCCGCTGCATCGCTCGTCTTTGAATCGCAGTACCTTCGTCTGAGGACTGCTCTGCCTCCTTCGCCCAACCTATACGGTCTTGGTGAATCAACAGACCATTTCCATCTGAACACCACCAACTACACCCGCACTCTCTGGAACCGTGATGCCTACGGTACCCCAGAGGGTTCCAACCTCTACGGAGCCCACCCCATCTACTTTGATCACCGCGGCGAGAATGGTACCCACGGTGTCTTCTTGGCCAGCTCCCAGGGTATGGACATCAAGATCGACGACTCCGAGGGCCAGTTCCTTGAGTACAACACTCTAGGTGGTGTTCTCGACTTCTACTTCCTGGCTGGTCCTGGACCGAAGGAAGTCGCAGTCCAGTACTCTGCTCTCTCTGGTCTTGCCGCTATGATGCCGTACTGGGGTTTCGGTTCTCACCAGTGCAAGTACGGTTACCGTGATGTCTGGCAAGTTGCTGAGGTAGTTGCCAACTACTCCGCTGCCGACATTCCCCTTGAGGTGAGTTCTATATCCCGACATATTATCTATAAATCCTCGCTAACACGCCCAGACCATGTGGACCGACATCGACTACATGGAGCTCCGTCGCCTGTTCACTCTGGATCCAGAGCGTTACCCTCTTGAACTCGTCCGCGAAGTGGTTGACTACCTCCATGCTCACCAGCAACACTACATCATGATGGTCAACTCCGCCGTCTGGAGTGGCGACTACGATGGCTACAACGACGGTGCCGAGCTCGATGTTTTCCAGAAGCGCGAGAACGGCTCTTTCTTCGAAGGCGCGGTCTGGCCTGGCCCAACTGTTTTCCCCGACTGGTTCCACCCCAACACCCAGCAGTACTGGGACCAGAAGTTTGCCGAGTTCTTCGACCCGGCGACTGGTGTTGATATTGACGGTCTATGGAACGACATGAACGAGCCTGCCAACTTCTGCCCGTACCCTTGCGAAGATCCTGTAGCCTACTCTGAAGAGTCCAAGAACCCGCCTGAGCCACCGCCAGTCCGCACCTCTGCCGACGGCCGTCAGATCCCTGGCTTCCCTGCGGGACTCCAGCCGCAGTCCAACTCCACGCTGAAGACCCGCTCAAGCTCCCCTCTCAGCAAGCGCTCCAACTTCAAGCGTCAAGCCTCCAACAACACCGAAGACCTTGCCGCGCACCCCGGTCTTCCCGGTCGTGACCTGATCAACCCGGAGTACCAGATCGCTAACGCTGCTGGCTCCATCAGC